TCCTTCAACAGCATATGTGCCGCATTTACGGCCCGGCTTGCCAACAGCGGAGAGTAGCTTTCTGTACAGTTTTGTTTTTGTCTTCGGACCGTCTCACAGCAGATCACAGGCTGAGCGCTTCCTGTGAAACAGACTTGCATGTTCCGACACGAAGAAAATTTGTGTCTGTTTGTTATTTATTTTGTTTTACGTGTCTACACAATGCTTTCATGCATGTTGACATGTACACTTAATTCATATCTTTCATGCGCACTCCGCATGGCTCAAGATTAGCAGCAAACCGCGTGTAAAAAGAAGTGCTGTCGCTCACTCTTGTCCGCAGGTGTTGTAACATAGTTTTCCAGGGCTCCCTCAAAGGGGAAAGCTACCTCACCCCACCCCACCTTCCCCCCCACCCCCCCACCCCAACAATAATCACCCGGTCATTCGTCGACAATGTTGTGAAACGTTTCAAGCATCTTGCAACGTGCCAAGCATCTTGCAACGTGCCAACTATCTTGCAAACTCACAACATCTTCTAAATGTGCCATCATTGACAAGTTACAAGAGAAAATTCGGAGCATAGCGTCAAGACCGGCTCAAAAAGTGACTGGAAAAGGTTCAGAGCCGAGCATCAAGAGCGTGTCACAAGCTGCATGTGCCTGTGTCGGACAAAGTTTTCCCCCCACCTCCCCTCCACCCCACCTTCCCCCACCCCCAAAATAATCACACGGTCATTCGTCGACAATGTTGTGAAACGTTTCAAGCATCTTGCAACGTGCCAAGCATCTCAAAATCAGCATATGTGCCAGAAAAAATGTCAGAAAGCATGTTAGAATACAATATTTATATATATAGATATAGATATAGATATGCCATTTATACTTCCTGCTACGTCAGAAATTATGTAACAATTAGTGTGTCAGGGTGGGGATCGCTCGAGAAAAGTACAAAGAAATTAACTTCCTCTCATTTCCTTTCATGTCCTCTCACGGCTCCCCCTCATTTCATTTTCTTTCTTTTCATGTCCTGCGTGCAAACTGGTTGGCTGACTCGCGACCGGGTTGTCTGACACGTGACTTGTTGGCTGACTCGTGACCTGTTGGCTGACTCGCGGCCGGTTGGCTGACTCGTGACCTGTTGGCTGACTCGCGACCGGTTGTTTGACTCGCGGCCTGGTTGTCTGAATCGCGCCGCCCTGGTTGGTTGGCTGACTCGCGCCTTCCTGTTGGCTGACTCGCTGACTCGCGCCTTCCTGTTGGCTGACTCGCGCCTTCCTGTTGGCTGACTCAGGTTGGCTGACTCGCAGCCCTGTTGGCTGACACGGTCTTCGCCCTCACCCATATACTCTTCACCCAGGGACTCTTCACCCAGAAACTCTTCTTGCACATATACTTTTCGCCCAGAGACTCTTCACCCAGAAACTCTTCTTGCACATACTTTTCACCCAGAGACTCTTCACCCAGAAACTCTTCTTGCACATAACTTTTTACCCAGAGATCCATTTTCTCTCCCATCTATCTGTCCACCTGACTGACCCAAAAAAACCGGACCTAGGGGATTCCCTACCGTCACTGTTTTGCCGCATGGTACATTACCCTGAAAACAAGACTTTTTGCACCCAGTTTTTACCACCTATTTACGATGATTTGGATCCCTTTTGTCAACTACCCACCCCAGACCCCTATTCTCACTTCGTTCGCAAATAACAACTAGCCAGCCTCCTGGCTGGCTTTCGTAAATAATAGTCACGAAAAAAAGAAATACTTGCTACATGTCTTTTGATTATTAAAGGGATTCCACAGGTTGCAGCATGGCAATCTCCAAAATGCAAAATGCACCAAGACGTGTGCCGTTGCATATCCAGGATGCAGGATTCGAGACCCTGCCCATGTTACACAAGAGAGCAACAAAAGGCTCCTCACAGGGGCACGGGTTTCCAGTCGCTGGGGCACATGAAATTCACCCCATCACGATACCATGCCACCTCACGGAGGTTGCCGACACCAAGAGCTCCATGGGCATCCTGCTGATTCTCCTCGCAGAGACTGGCCATGAATGGTTAGGATATGGTTAGGATATCCTATGATATCCTTATGGATCTCAAATTGATGAACTGACGTGTGATGAACTGACGATTTTATAGGAAGAATCAGATATGGATTCAGCTAAGGCTTAGTCATGCTAGTCTGCTAATGTCAAGGCGTTCAAACAGCCAAACTACAACATGGAGGGGTCCAACGGGAATCCTACAAAATGATTCCACAATCGGTTCAATAGGGCTTAGAGCTGAAAATGCAAGACGTTTTGGGTGTGCTATATTATTTTGACCCCTGGTTTCTTTGAAGCCATCATCTTCCTTCCATATTTGTTCCTATCACACTTCTCTACGTTTGCCTTTCTATCGATTGGTTTTCACTGCCGGTCTAGTGAAGGTTCCTTCAGCTCGCCCATCAACTTCCGAAAGAGCTCCAGCTCTTTTGGGGTCACCTGTCGCACAAACATCCCAAAACCTCTGGGCCACCCTTTGCCCGAGCTGTTGGAACACAGAGCTTGCAAATGTGTTGTGTCCACATCCAGTGATTGCGCCTCTTGTGCCTCACGTAGGGCATCTCCCTCCTGCACTCAATGCAACTTGACTTTCTTCCAATCGTGAAACTTCTTTGAAAGTTTTTTTTGTGCCAATGGAAACGGTCTTTGCACTACAGAACTTTCGGCTCCTTGCTTGGGCGCTGCTGCAGACCATCAAAGTCCTTGATCTCCGCAAATACGAATCTCTACTACCACTTTGGTCTGATGGAATGATTCTGTGAGAACACGTGAGCTCATACATGGTCTGGATCCCAGCTTCCATGTGATTTTTTATCCAAACTCTATATATATATAATATAATATTAATATACATTAATAATATTATATATTAATAATATATTATGATATAATATGTATGATATACTGTATGTTATATGTTTCTTGAGTTTCAAAGGCAGCACTAGCTGAGATCCACGCAGAGAGGGTAGCATTTGCCTGTACTGCAAAACATCCACCAAAAATCAGACCAAGGGGTCCCACAGGTACGCATTCGAGATGTGTTGGAACCAACACTTGTATCTTGACACCTGCCTGGGGCTGCTCTACCCTTTGCTCCTTCTGCATAGCTTCTGCTGCGAGGTTGGTTGCATTCACATCGGCGCTGTCTGTTGAGGAGGAGGAGCTGCTAGGCGACCCACCTGAGACTTCTGGGTAAATGGTGCAAGTCGGGACAGTCATGGCTTCATGTTTAGAGCGATTCACCAATCGAAAAACCTTGAACATCCTTTAACCAAAATAATTGCAACTGAACCGACCTCTGGTCAACAGTTCCTGAGTTAGCTCCAACCCTCAGGGCATCACTGCTGCCGGCGCTAGTTGACTCTTCACCTGAAGAAGCAGCATCAACGACTTGGCATGTTGGAGGACTTCGCCATTTAAGCTTTTTAAGCATCCATTGCACGCCTGAACTGTCCACCTCATCAAGCACTTTGCAAACTGAGGTGGCATTCATCAAGTTCCAGAAGAGCTCTAGCTCCTTTGGGGTGGCCTTGCAGTGGCCAAGGGAATGCACTATCATGAGGCATCTTCATCAAATCAAATATCAACAAATGGCGTTCTAAGTGGGCGTGTCACCGCATACATATCCTGCCATCTGCCCTGCCTGAGACGAAGATCCACTGGCACTAGAAGGACATACCGAAGTATCCCGGAACTGCCCTAGGTGCTCCATCGTCTCATTGTCGCCATCGCCGTAGTCGCTCTCGGGGGGAGCAAAGGGCATCTCAGGCCAAACCAGCTCCTCCAGAGGCTTCAAAACCGCAAAATCTTGAAAAATGCCGATGCACGTGACCAAAATCTGCAACTTTTTCACTCATCCATGACCTGCCCTAGTGTAAGCACCTCGGACTCATATTAAGATTTAGATCATTGATTATTCCGTAGGATGAACACCACCAATTGCATTTTGCAATTTCCAGATCAACCACGTTTTAAGCATTACGAAGTTTCAAACTAAATCTGCATGATATTGTAGTTCCATCAAGCTCCCATCAAATATCATCCTCCACTCCACCCCTATCAGGCCAGCCTCGGGAATCACCTGCCAAAAACACAGAGAAGCAACTGCAAGTTTGGCACAATGTCAGAAATCAAATACGGACCATTGAAGATCATTGAAGATTCTCCGCATCTGCATTGACCTCATAGCCAAGAAACGCGCTGGATGGCAGGTAACTTGAGCAATACCAATGCGATCTATGTGGAGGGGTCGACCAGTGAAAACATATCAAGAAGATAGAAAGGTGAACGCAGACAAGTGTGAGAGGAACACCACCTCCAGGACAGACCGAAGATACACAGGTCCCAGGGTTGAAAGTGCTCATGGAAACTGCGGGTTTTCAGGTTGGCGGATATGGTCCTGAAGGACATGAAAAGTTTTTGATACAATGGAAGCGGCCCAGCCTCTATGAGAGGATTCTTTGATTCTCCACAGGGTTTCCACTGGGCATTTGTCAGCTGGCTGAAAGGTTGAATGCGCCTTGGACACTCGTGCCTGAACTTGGCTCTTGGTTTCAGGCCATTCAGGTGATCCAAACAGACCAAATGAAGGCCGTTAAGAACACTTGACACATCCTACAGATCCGGAACAAACTTGTGCATGCGCCAGTGGAGATGGATGGAGATGGCCTGAGCAATACCACCATCACGGTCCGCATTGTCAGCCGCATCACTCTTTTCAGACTCTGTTCTGTCTGAATGCCATCTCCAAATTCTTACACGTCGCCGCCTGAACGCACAGAGAACGAGGCACAGAGCGGTGGAGCATTTGTGCATTGAAAGGGCCAGCCAAACTGGTGGGCTCTGGATTTCAATGGCATCGTGGGTCGGACAATCGCAAAAAATGGAGCTGCCTATCTGACATTGTTTCAATGTTGAAGCCCCTGGCCCAAAGCCTTGCACGTTTCTTTCCGGCGCCGCGCTTCTTGCCCTGTGATATCCGAGTTGCCAGCAGCACTAGGTCCTTGGTGGAAGCATGTGGTGGCCATGTCATGTAAGGACGTGAAGCGGGTTGGGCTCAATGGAGACTTAAGGAGAGAAGGAGCCGCCGAACAACTCACCACGTTCTGGAAAGAAAGTGTCACCGGATCTGCCGAGTTTAGCCATCAGACCAAACAACTATATTATTTATACATATTTATACCCAAACCGTCCCCGGAGTCCTGGAAAGCAAAATGTAAATTGTGGCATCAAGTCCAGCACCGAGAGGAAACAAAGATTTGGACTAATAATAAAAAACTAAGTAACTATATAAGTTACTTTACTTCGTGTGATCCCCACCATGACATTTGTACATAATCTTACTGGCACATCTTCTGGCATTCTACCTGATATATCTTCTGACATTCTATTTGGCATTCTATCTGGCATATCTTCTGGCAATCTTCTGGCATTCTATCTGGCAAATCTTCTGGCATTCTATCTGGCATATCTTCTGGCATTCTATCTGACATATCTTCTGGCATTCTATCTGGCATTCTATCTGGCATATCTTCTGGCATATATTCTGACATATCTTCTGGCATTCTATCTGGCATTCTATCTGCCATTCTATCTGGCATATCTTCTGGAATATCTTCTGGCATATCTATCTGGCATATCTTCTGGCATATTTTCTGGCATTCTACCTGGCAAATCTTCTGGCACTCTATCTGACATTTTATCTTCCTACAGGGAACACTGGGCGTGGATACTCGCGGTTGAGGTCCGGCAGGGAACACTGTGGATCGCGGGTCGCAGTTGGACGAGGACGACGAGGACGACGAGGACGACGAGGACGACAAGGAGGACGAGGAGGACGAGGAGGACGAGGAGGCGAGGAGGAGGACGAGGAGGAGGACGAGGAGGACGAGGCAGGAGGAGGAGGAGGCAACTGACATAAAATCTAACAACCCTCACCTGGCAGGTGGGGAAAAACTAAGTAACTATATAAGTGAACTGACATCATGCTCAGAGATGCAAGCACTGGCTCAACATCTGGGCCCCACACTCTATTGTGCTGCATTGGTCCAGGCTTTGAACACCTTGCATGTCAAGCGTCTCTCCAAACATAAAGATTTAAAACTCGGTGAAATCAAGAAATCTCGGAAGCTGGGAGTCCGACGAAGGCACGTCGGCCTCAAAGAATGGAAGCTGCCAGCTGTCCCCTTTGTGGTCCAGCTGCTCAGCAAGTTCTTGTACAAGATGCCGGGGAAGCCAAAGTTGGACTGCGAGAGGAAAGTGCCTAAACAGAAAAACTACAAATGGGATAAATTGTTTCAAGATGTTTCAAAATGTTTCAAGCAATTCGTGGCTTCTGATTTGTTCAGAAAATGCCTCACACGAGCACTGCAGAAATGAACTAAACGAGAGCCAAGAAGCATCCACGCTTCCAGCTGGCCATGCACCCGGCACGAATGTGGGCCACGATCATTCGCGGTCAACACCATTGCGAGTGTTTCAGGTTTTGAAATTTTGATTGAGAGTTGACTCGCTGCTAGACTTGACGAAACAACATGAAACAACAACATGCGTGAAGAGAACCGGCCAACCTGTCCTAAATATGTTTTGCACCTAAACGAACTCAGGATCTATATCCCCAATGATTTCCCATCGACAGCTGGGGGAAAAAAGTATGGTGAGTTGCAAAGTCCTCAAGCTGTGCGATCTGCTTTTTAGCGCACAGAGCCTGCTGCAGAAGGACATTGATCAGATTGCAAAGAAAAGAACTCAATGTCCAATTTGCCATTCCTTCTTTGAGCTGGTTGCGTAAAATTATGATGTAGCACGCTTCCAACAGCATGTTCAGGATGCCGCTCTTTTCTTTTTAGGCCCACAATTGTCACGTTGGCGTAGGCATCATCGCATTCAGCGGTTCTACCTCAGTCTATGTAACACAAGGTCCGTTTTGACTTAGTCATAGATCAATTACATATAACTTACATATAACTCATAATCATATAACTTACTTATGTTATACTTATAATGACGCACATAGTGGAACTTATATGTCTACATATATGTAGCGTATGTATGACGCGCGCGTTTGCGTCTTTTTCTTTACTTTTTGTGATTTTCAGCTAAAGCTGTTTTTTCAAGGTTTTTTTGCTTGTTATTTTGTTTTTTTCAAAAAAGAAAAGTTTTCCGCAACATTTTTAATGCGAAAGTAAATTACAGCCTACAGCGGACATACCGCCACAAACTACCGGCCCTACAGCGGTGACACCGCCACACATTTTCATGAATTTTAAAATATATGAATTGAATTTGTTGAAATATTAAGATTACATTAGAGATCTACAGCGGAAGTACCGCCAAACCACACCTACAGCGGACAATTCCCGCCACCACGGCGACGCAGCTTCTTGACCTTTTTTCAGAGGAGACACGTGACCATGTCGTCTTGCCAACGCCACCAAGGCGGCAGAGACCAAGGCCCGGCAAAGATCGAAGCCACAACCTGCTTTTCCGTCGCTTGCCATACTGTTCCCCAAACGCAGGAGCGCACTCGGTGCAGTTTTTGCAGTAAGAAGAAGTGTTCCACATCGTTGGTAAAAATATTTTGCACCACTGCTGCTGATCCATCTGCAAAGTATAAAATGTCAGTTTTCGACACACTGGAGTGGTAATACCGCACGCCTTGTGCGATCTTTATGTTTGAATCTCCTAACAAATTGCAGAGCACCGGACATGCAGCTTTGAACGGACCAATGAGTCGGACAGGCTGAACGCCAAGTTCTTGCACACGAGCCGCTTGACCAGAAAGCAGGCGAGGTAAAAGGCTTTTTTGGAAACCGGAGCGCGCAGTGGATTTCAATCTCTCCGCCAGACCATGCTTATAGCACCGATGTTTGCTTTCATGTTGCTCGCATTTGTAAGAAGCTTTGTCCCAAATGGAAGCGCTGGTGATGTTTTGGTTTGATGCATTCCGCGGAGTAACACTCCAGGAAACTCTTTTGATGACGTTCTTGCACAGCTAGCAAGGAATCAACATCTTGATGGGCAATTTCAGACCACTGGTATCTCAATGCACGCAAATGCGCGCAACACATAGCCAAGTCCTCAAAGCTTTTGAGATGTGTTTGCAAATGTTCCTCTTTCAGATTGCCTTCAGCAAAGTAGTACCTCAGCAGCGGCACCAGTGATTCGCATTGCGCCGCTTGTCCCTTGGAAACTCGGCACCGATGAAACCTCAGAAGGAGATCTACGCAAAATCTCAATGGGCACCTCCTGCTTCTCAAAGCGCTGCTGCGCCAAGAGCACCAAAGCACTAATGAGCTCCTTCACAAATGGCCCTCCTGCAGGTTGAAGATCAGCATGGAAAGGCTCGGAAAGCATGCCCCCACCCATGGCTCCAAGCTGAGCAACTGAATTCTTGGGAGAGAGCATGTTCGATTTCCTCATGACTATCTTATCCTGCAACTCCTGCAAGGAAGTATCCCTAATGCGAGACTCCACGCGTGGATGCTGACCAAACGCGGCAATGTTCAAGACCTCTGGCAAGTCAGCTGCAGCCGGCAGCTCCAGAAGGTGAAAGTCTTCAGCTTGGATCCTGTTCTTTCGTTTCTTTTTGAAGCTCTGCCAAGTAGACTTCGTTTTGTCTCATATGTCTGTGCCAAACCAAAGCCCGATTTCGCCGGGTGGAAAATGCACAGGAGGGCCGTCAAACAAGCATACGTGGGCTCTGAAGGATTTCTCAAACCAAGTCGAAAAGCATGCTCCATCAGAATTTCTGCCGCCCGAGTGTAAGGGTAAGCACTCAAAGCATCCCAAACTTCATCCGTCAAAAAGCTAGGCAATTTGGTGAAATCCTGATACGGTTTCCTTTTCACGGCAGCCTCATCTTTGACTTGTTCAGTCAATCACTTTTGAAGCCTTTCCTTCTCTTCCTGCGAAAAGGCTGCCTGCTTCTCATGCACTCACTTTCAAAGCCGTGTCGGCATCAAGCGACACCGAGGACAATGCGTTCAGCACGCATTTCAAATGAACTTCCTTGTTCACGTCCTCCTTCAAAGTCAACAGTTGCGCCAACGCGTCAACCCGTGTCTGAATGAAGCCAATGCTGGGGTTTGGCGCTCAAGTGGCGGTGAAGGTGAAAAAATGGCATCGCCAGGCCAGCCTTTGTCCAATCCTTTTAGGTCGATGCAGTTGCTTGGTCCATCACCCTTCATGTCAGCTGGGTGGACCACCAAGGACGGGCACAATGTGATGCACGTCCGGACGGCCATTCTACCAGATCCTGATGGTGATGAAGCACAACTGGAGCTTCGTCAAATCGATGCTGTTGGTGGTCGTGGGAATCAGGGGAGGGGATTGGTTGGAGCAGCATCTTCAAGGAGCTATGCCACTGTTGTTTGAGCAGCCTCGTCCGGAGCTAGCTGGACCTGCCCCTGTCAAGATGCGGGCATGGGGGGAGACTGTTGGTGGTAAAAGTGGGGAGACTAAGGGAGAATGTTGGAGGTGGAATCAAAAAAGAAAAATCACCCGTTTTTGGTCCGGAATCCTCTTTGCATTCTTCGACGGCATCTCCATCGAGTGGCTCCGACTGTGGTATGGTGGAATGTTCAAACTGCAGTCTCCGGCAACGGGTTCAATACGGGAGCCCTGGAGACTACGAGATGGTTGATGAAATCGCTGTGGAAGCCTTGTGAAGGTCTCTGAGGGGTCCGACGCTTCAAAGAATGTGGAGGTCATGGAACCCTTTGCAGTGTCTGAGTTTGACGGGGTGATTGAGTACTCCGATGATGATGATCATGGTGGCAACTGTGGCTTTTGTGGAGAGCCATTGAAGTTGGGGTCCTCTGGAGAGATGGTGGTTCCGGGGGAGCACACAGAGCCTCTTCAACGCTGCTCTGGGGCTGAGGCTGAGTCGTTCCATGAGATCGAGGTGGAAGAGCATGGGGCTTTGAAGTCTCTCTGGATGGAGGAGCTTCGGAAGGTGGCTGTTGGTGAAGATGAAGGGATGAAGCAGGGCAGGATTTTGGAGGAGCTTGAAACGGAGCTGTTGATCCGAGAAACCCATTTGGAGGAGCAGCATCTTTGTCTTCATCAACATCGGTTGGCATCATTGTCTTTGCCGACGCCTCCAACCGATGGGCTCCCTGCAGAGCTCCCTCAACCAGTTCTTCAAACCTACGTGCTGTTGCAGCAGGTCAAAAGAGATTTGGATGCTTGGGTGCCTGCTCTGAATGCAGAGTACAATTCTCTGACGGGAACAGCTGCAATCCGCCCAACAACGGATGCAGAGCTGCGCAAAAATCCTCTGTATCACACAACGGAACTGGCCCCGGCTATGCTTGTTCCAACTATCAAGGCTCCAAATGGACGCAAGAAGGCACGGGTGGTGGTATGTGGAAATCGACTCGAACGAGTTGGTTCGGGTGGTGAAGATCTCACCAAGGAAGGTGCCCAGTCTTCCACATCGCCCTACAGCACGCATGCGGGAAGAGCTGGTGGAGCATTGCTGCGGTGCTTGATCAAAAAGGCACCCTGTGAGAACTGGAGTGTAGCCAGCTTGGATGTGGCTACAGCCTCTCTTCTAGCTCCACGGTGGGAGTCAGAGCGTCAGCTTCTGGTGATGAAACCGCCGAAGGTTTTGGTCGATGCTGGGATTTGTGGTGGTTATGAGCTATGGCAGATCCAGCATGCGATGTATGGGCTCACTTCCTCGCCGTCGGATTGGGGAAACTCGGTGCTCTCCAAGCTTCGATGGAATCTGGAAGGGGTTGGTTATCATCAGCCTATTGTCCAAGCTCCTAAACCGAACCTTTGGAAGGTTGTCCTCACGGAGAATTCAACGGTGAAGCAGTCCTATGAGGACCTGGATTGAGCCTATGCTTTGTGGCCCTCTATGTGGATGACGTCCTTGCAGTTGGCGAGGTCAGCATCATGAATGGGTTTCTGGAGGAGGTTCAGCGAACATGGAAGCGTTCCAGTCCAGAATGGGTGAAGGAAGGTGATGAGTTCGCCAAGAAGGAGAACGCAATCCTTCTCTGTCTCAGAGTCTCAGAGATCGTACATCAGAGATCTTCTTAGTCGCTGTGGGGGCTTGGTGCCCAAATCAACACCACTTCCAGGCACCTTGCATAAGACGCCTGAGGAAAATATTCAGATCGCTGATGTTCGTGCAGCTCACACTGTGGTGGGAGAACTTCTTTGGGCCGCATGCAGATTGAGGCCTGATTTGGGCTTCGCCACGTCATGGTCGGGCAGGCATGTTACAAAATGTCCTCGTAGGGTGCTTTCCCTAAGCCGTCACACCCTGGGGTATCTGAGTGCAACAGCCGATATGAGCTTGGCCTGTCATCGATGTGAAGGTGGTTTTGGCTCTGGGGGTAGTTTGGCGCAACATGCTCACGTTTGAGGTTTTCAGCGATGCGGCCATGGGAGCTCAGTGCCGGCGTGGTCATCAAGGTTTGGTGGCGGTCTATGATGGAGGGTCCCTAGTTCAGTCTGGGATTCGAAGCAGCAGCCTTTTTGCGTGGTGAATGAATTTCATCAATCGTGGAAATCTTGGAGAACAACCAGCTGTGCGAAGGAGGTGCTCGAGTCCTTCATCGGGACAGTCTATGTCTGGCCTACGGCTTAATTTTAGAAGCTCCTGACAGGCCTTGGCGTACCCGCCATCTTCGCCTGCGAAGCTACGTTCTCCGTGAACTTGAACGTCTTCAATGGGGTCTTTGGAAGGCTCGGCATCTTCCTGCATGGCACGAGCTGGCGTCAGACCTGCTGACGAAGCCGGCGACTTCATCTTCAGCCTGGCAGAAGTTTTACGACTTCATGGGCATGGTGGTCAACGCCGCCCAAAAGCCAGAAGCCGATGATCGGAGTGGATTAGCTGGCACCATTATTGCTGCAGTTGGCGGCTTGGTAGGTTTAGCAGCTTGGCTTGGGAGCCGACCTCAAGGGACGGCCAAAATAGCGAGGTTGGTGGCTATCACGGCATTGGTAGCTCATTTAGCCTTGAAGTGCGCTCTTTGGATGCGGGGTGAGAGAGATCCCGAAAAGGCCAGGCCAAGGGCCATTGGGTTCCCCACGGCGGCAAGTCTAAGGGAGCATGAACCCAGTCCGGTCAACCCGCTCCGTCCAATGTGAGCCCTGAGGGCATTCTGGTTGGTCCGCGCATCTGCGCAATGCGGGCGGATTGGGACCGACGCCGTGGAATGCTTGTTCCATCCAAATCACCGCAGCTGTCCGATCAGAATTGAAGACTTGGAGGCCAGAAGAATCTGGTGGTCAGGGGCACATGCTTGGGAACGAGCGTGCAAGTTCGTCTGGCGTGCCTCTGGGAGCCTGACGACAACAGAGCTTGGCATATGCCGAGGCCGATCGGAAGATCAAGCGGAAGTGGAAGAAAAGCCCGGGTGGATGCCATTGGGGTGGAGCAGCAGCGCAACCTTCAGCTCTGTGGGTAGTTGGTTTGTGGCAGGATCTGGTGGCTACTATGGCCCACCGTCCTCTTCAGCCTCAGGACCCGAATTGGAAGAGCAGCTGGATCGCTAGATGGTTCTTTGGGCTCATCAGCGTTGTGGGGGCCACCAAGGAACACCACGACGTGCACAGTCTTTCCCCCGCGGACCCAGGTGTATCAGCGGAGCTCAGCCCCAGTGAATCGGTGGAACAATGGGCCCACGCTGAGCATTCGAGGGAGAATCTGTTCGAGAGGCGACGCTCAGAGTACTACAGGCTCCGCCTCCGCCTCCACGCTGGACGTCCAAGGGAGGATCCAATGAGTCGCCGATGTGATGCTCTGGCACTTCCTTCATGGTGCAACGTTGGAGGGAGGAACTGATGAAGGTCAGTACGATGATGAGGCGGTCGGGTCTGAGGAGGAGACCAGCCATGGTAGTTTATTCCAGCCGACGACGCGGCCGACCCGAAGTCGCTGACATGTGAGCCGCGTAGCTCTTGGTTGCTTTTTGGGCTCGACGTAGCCTTTGGGATTTTCGTCTACGGACCGACTTTTCGGTTGCTGTTCAACAGCAGGGGGGAGCGTGGATGATCAAGTCGTCCTACACTAGAATTCGAGAAGTGTAACAAGTTTTCTTTTGAGAAGATTAGCATGGCCGCTGCGCATTCATTTGTTGCAGCATGGCTACGTTTGGCAGGGTTGACGCAGTTCCCTTGGTATCAATTTACTTTTGGCTCAAGAAAAACAGCCCGCTGCGCGCTCCTGGGACGGACCTGTCGCTTCACAGTTTTAAACACGGTCTATATAGTTCTGACCACGAGATCTCAGAGGACACTGAAAGCGACAGTTGTTTTCTGGTTTCTACACTATCTTGATGCTTTTTGAGCATGTTTTGAACATGTTTTGAACATCTTGTCTCTCTTGTGTCAATTCGTCATAAGCCGTCAACATCTTTACTGACGAGAATAGGTTTTGTGAGCTGAGATTTGGATGGGATTTCTGATGACACTTCATTTCGGAAAATTTGGGAAAACTTTGCAAAGGCATTTCGCGTTTAAGATTCACGCGGGTCACAGTTTCCCCAGCCCACCTGGAGTGAACTGCTCAACTCTTCAGAAATGATCAACTTTCAAACTTCGTGATCTCTGATCTCATGGGTCTCTGAATCATACTTAGCGATTGCTTGTTCATAGGTGCCAACCTTTACTCATGTTTAACCGAAGGTGCCAAATCTTCATCTGGGTTCATCCGTGTCTTAGATCATCCCCTTTTGTGGGAGCACATGTGTCAACCTGTGTCCGGATTTTATAAGTGCAGCCCAGATTTACAGAGTGTTCCTACGTCATCTTCCAGAACAACGCGCCAGGTGGTCGTGAACTTCAATCTGCGCTTCGTCAAATCATCCTTGTCTGCTTCAATCTTTACCACCACACCTCCAGGATTCCCAAGGAAGTTGAGTTTTGCGCATACATAGTCAAAAATAAATATCTTCTTGTCTTCCTTTCTGCTCTTTCTTGCAGCCAAGCGTCGATCAAAGACATTGATCTGAAAGCCTTGAAATGTTGTTCTCGGCCGTCCATAAAGAAGCTACTGTTCCTCAGCTCTGAAAAAACTGCACAAGGCAAGAAACCACCTGGGATGCACCGGAAATCAGCAAATGCAAGCGGCAACTGGCCTGGAAACACAAAGATGGAGGGAGTATGGAGTCAGATGCGGTCAAATTCTCTGCATGATCCTGGCATTCCAGGATATTCCAAGGATCTGGGAAGACTACCCAACTTTTTTCCTCCAGCTCTGCTATGCCCTCAGCTCCGAATCCCTCCACGGCAACGCTGATTGCTTCCCTCCTCAGCTCTTCACCACTCCACCAAATTACAAAATATAAAACATCATGAACATATTTAAAAATGATAAAGATACCATGACAAAAAAAAAGACACGATTTGTAGTCGGTCTTGGTGCTTGAAATTGCTGCCAGGACTCACAACTCTCATGACCACCTCTTCCGAGACTACACTACACCTCCACGTTGTTGCAAAAACCTGAGCAGAAACTGCACATTGCACTGGATACTTCGCTATGCTCTGATTTGCCTCGTCGAATTTCCTCTCGATCAGGACATCTCTGGACAGCCACAGCTCTGGACCTTCGGTTCCTATCGAAAACATTCGAAAGAACGTCTGAAGTGTCAGCTCCCGAAAACCTTTCTTATCTGATCTAATGTATGTGTATTTGCGTGCCCATGACCCAGTACACATATTCTGTCTACAAAAAAAGGCTTAGAGAAGGACCAGAATCCGAACCATATGGTGATGTAATGTAAAACAAAGGAGACCATGCATCGCAAAGTCCCCGCAGCCCAGGAGACTGAACGGGACACCCAAAGGGAGGCAAGTTGGAGACAAAGGCAAAATGATGGCAACAGCCGGGAAACAAATCAGAAACACCTGGATCCCCACATCTTTCTTAGGCGAAGCGGCGAAGCAAATGAAGGCAAAGTCGTCCCCAGGTGCCATCAGAGAACACAACTCCGGAGACACAGGCGACATGATGCGTGGCGCATTTCAAATGATTGAATGTAGCTATCCACAATTTTCCTCATTTTCGAGTTAGCTCAAAACATGTAGCTGGCTCAATTTCAGAAGGGGTCATGTGCTTGACTTTAATGTTGTGCGGCTGCCTAAGCAGATTTGGCCCAAAGTGTGGCTCCTAAATTTCTGGGCTGCAACAGGGGGTACCATCTCTATTAAACGAGACATTTGGGACTGAGCCTGGCAATTGAACACATTGGGAAGAATTTGCGTGCTCGCTCAAGTGGAACGAGCTACCTCAGCAACACCGCGCTAGCTCAAACACATCGCTCTAGCTCAATGGCATCGAGCTGATGCATTTTTTTTGAACGAAAAAAATACTTTACTTCGTGTGATCCCCACCACGACATTTATACATTTTGTTACTGGCAAATCTTCTGGCATTCTATCTGACATATTTTCTGGCATTCGATCTGGCATTCTATCTGGCATATCTTCTGGCATTCTACCTGGCATATCTTCTGGCAGATGTTCTGGCATATCTTCTGGCAGATGTTCTGGCATATCTTCTGGCATATCTTCTGGCATATGTTATGGCATATCTTCTGGCATTCCATCTGGCATTCTATCTGGCATATCTTCTGGCATATTATCTGGCAAATCTTCTGGCATTCCATCTGGCATTCTATCTAGCATATCTTCTGGCATATTATCTGGCAAATCTGCTGGCATTCTATCTGGCAAACATTCTGGCACTTTATCTGAGATATCTTCTGGCATTCTAGCTGACATTCTATCTGGCATTCTATCTGGCATACCTTCTGGCATTCTATCTGGCATATCTTCTCACATTCTATCTGGCATATCTTCTGGCACTCTATGTGGCATATCTTTTGGCGTGGATACTCGCGGTTGAGGTCCGGCAGGGAACACTGGGCGTGGATGGTCGTGGTTGAGGTCCGGCAGGGAACACTGGGCGTGGATGGTCGTGGTTGAGGTCCGGCAGGGAACACTGGGCGGGGATGGTCGTGGTTGAGGTCCGGCAGGGAACACTGAGCATGGATGGTCGTGGTTGAAGTCCGACAGAACACTGCGCGTCGAGGGTCGCAGTTGAGCAGGAGGACGAGGAGGACGAGGAGGAGGAGGGAGGACGAGGAGGACGAGGAGAGGAGCAGGCAACTGACATAAAATCTAACAACCCTCACCTGGCAGGTGGGGAACAAAAATGAGCCAGCTACGTCACGTTGAGCTGGCGAACGAATGCGAAAGCTAAAAACGAATACATAATATGTATTGGCCGGGATGGTGACGGCACACCGAGCTGGCTCAAGGGCATGTAGCTGGCTAATATTTTTTTCGAGTTTTTTTTCCGTTTTTTTTCGTTCAAAAAATTGAGCCAGCTACGAGGCGCTGAGCCAGCAACAAGGCATTGAGCCAGCTACGTGCCACTGAGCCAGCAACGAGGGATTGTGATTCTATACTGTACGGGACGGATGGATTTTCCGATGCAGCCTTTGCAGTTCCAACAAATCAAATTATTGATTAATTCTGGCACCATATGAGATGAAATAGAAGACTGGCAGTCTATACATATGTATACAATTGTATACATATATAGCCCCAACCATGTAATTACGGTCAACCTGAGGCGGAGGGAGATTGGGAAAAGTAATTTTCGAAATGAGTGAGGAACCCATACAGGTAAACTGTGTAATTATTGGTAAACCTGTTTGGAGAAGAGTGTAAGGTCCTCGGCAGTTTGTTTTCAACATGTATGATTCCATAGACGTCTTGGTCGTCTGGTATTGAGGCAAGGGCACTCATTGATGGTATCACCCCCCAACATGCTGATACGATCCTGCAGTGTGACTCACAGTGCGCCGTTTTCAGATTATCAGATAACAGAGATCAAAAAATCAAAGAGAAAAAACAACAAAACCAAAGTGCTTGGGTGCTCAGAGTGCTCAAAGCGAAATGGCAGTGGAGCAAGATGTTCTTGATGATGTCGCTGTTCGGTCTCTGCCTGTCCTTCGTATTCCTCTCATCTTTCTCCATCAGTGGCAGGACCTCCTTCAAGGCCTTCTCCCTGAGCAAAGAAGTACACACAATTCCGCGGGAAATTTGACCAAGATTGGCCAAAATTTCACTGTTCAAGGAAATTTTGAGCGACAAAAGTTAATTAAACTCGTGGATGTCCTCTGGCGTACTGGCCTCTCTTCCATCTTGTGAAAGCTGTCCTGCACCAATTTCTCCAGTGGGAGAGCCACCTTCTTCTCGCGCAGCAACTTTTCCTCCTCCCAAGTCGGGCCTCCAACATCTGGAACAAATAACGCAGACTCACTATATATGGTGTAGATATGAGATATCGTAAAGAACAAATATAGACAAATGGGTATGCAATAATCTAATTTTCACGTACAGACTTTACCATATAGAACTTGTAAAGAGATTGACTATACAGCTAGAACAAAACAACGACGGCACCTGGAAATGAATCCTTCATAGAAACAGCTGAGGTGCAGTTAAGGTTGTTTCCATTGGAGAAAGTCCCAAGTCTTGTGGACTATTTCGTGAAGGTTTATGAACTGTGGAACGGTGTGATCTCAAATGATCTCAACTATTCCAGTCTTCAGGCGCAGACGTGCTGTCTCTGCTGGAGCAATCTTCAGCTGGCTCTCCATTTCCTGTCAAAGTTCCAAGACGCAAGTAGACTAGAAACATGAAATCTAAATAGAAAACATCTACCAGTAGAGCCGCACAAGGCGGTAGCGGAAAATTCAAAGATAGGAGAGGTTGCTTGGAGTGTAGATGACGGAATGAGGTTGGAGTGTCGATGTTTGATTGAATGGCACTCCACCAGTTGATCCAATTTGTTGTTTATTGTTCTCTCTCTCTCTATGTATCTATGAATCTATCTATCTTTCTTTCTTTCTATCTATTTATCTATCTATCGATCTATCTATCGATCTACTGGAAGAATTTAGGATTAAACAAGAATGAATGTCAGTGGAAAAAATTAAGGTTAAGAGAGAATGTCAGTGGAAAAATAGAAGAGAATGTCAGAGAACTGACATTCTATTTTAACCGTAAATTCTTCCTCTGACATTCTTTTATAACCCTAATTTTTCCATTTTTTTAACCCTAAATTCTTCCACTGACATTTTTTATTTTTTTTCTTCCACTGACACCATAATTCTTCCACATTTCCACTGACATTCTCTTCTATTAACCCTAGGGTTAAAAAAGAATGTCAATGGAAGAGTTTAGGGTTAAAAAAGACTGTCAGTGGAAGAATTTCAGCCCTAAAGGAAAAGAGGCTATCTGAGTGAATGTCAGAATGCCAGTAGGGTTTAAAAAAAGAGAATGTCAGATTCTTCCGCCCTCGGCACTCTCTTCAATTTCTCACGCTGACACTCTACCTTCGGTGCACCATCTGCATTCTGGGTCTTTTGCCTGCCTAAAATTCAAGGCCCAAACCTTGGATGCAAAGTTTGCATTCTGGGCCTTTTGCCTGCCTAAAATTCAAGGCCCAAACCTTGGATGCAAAGTTTGCATTCTGGGTCTTCTGCCTGCCTAAAATTCAAGGCCCAAACCTTGGATGCAAAGTTTGCATTCTGGGTCTTCTGCCTGCCTAAAATTCAAGGACCAAAGCTTGGATGCAAAGTTTGCATTCTGGGTCTTCTGCCTGCCTAAAATTTAAGGCCCAAACCTTGGATGCAAAGTTTGCATTCTGGGCCTTCTGCCTGCCTAAAAATTCAAGGCCCAAACCTGGGATGCAAAGTTTGCAGTCTGGGTCTTCTGCCTGCCAAAAAATTCAAGCCCAAGCCTTGGATGCAAAGTTTGCATTCTGGATCTTCTGCCTGCCTAAAATTCAAGGCCCAAACCTTAGATGCAAAGTTTGCATTCTGGGTCTTCTGCCTGCCTAAAATTCAAGGCCCAAACCTTGGATGCAAAGTTTGCATTCTGGGTCTTCTGCCTGCCTAAAATTTAAGGCCCAAACCTTGGATGCAAAGTTTGCATTCTGGGTCTTCTGCCTGCTTAAAAATTCAAGGCCCAAACCTGGGATGCAAAGTTTGCATTCTGGGTCTTCTGCCTGCCTAAAATCCAAGGCCCAAACCTTGGATCTTCTGCGTGCCTAAAATTCAAGGCCCAAGCCTTGGATGCAAAGTTTGCATTTTGGGTCTTCTGCCTGCCTAAAATTCAAGGCCCAAACCTTGGATGCCAAGTTTGCATTCTGGGTCTTCTGCCTGCCTGAAAATTCAAGGCCCAAACCTTGGATGCAAAGTTTGCATTCTGGGTCTTCTGCCTGCCTAAAATCCAAGGCCCAAACCTTGGGTGCAAAGTTTGCATTTTGGGTCTTCATGGGTCTTCTGCCTGCCTAAAAATCAAGGCCCAAACCTTAGATGCAAAGTTTGCATTCTGGGTCTTCTGCCTGCCTAAAATCCAAGGCCCAAACCTTGGTCTTCTGCCTACCTAAAATCCAAGGCCCAAACCTTGGATGCACAGTTTGCATTCTGGGTCTTCTGCTTGCCTTAAAATTTAACCCAAACCTTGGATGCAAAGTTTGCATTCTGGGTCTTCTGCCTGCCTAAAAAACAAGGCCCAAACTTTGGATGCAAAGTTTGCATTCTGGGCCTTCTGCCTGCCTAAACTTCTACAACTTGTATGCGCCGTGCGCCAGCCAAGCCCGTGCGTGCGTGCACTCTGCGAAAGTGGCGTGCGTGCGTGCACTCTGCGAAAGTGGCGTCCTGTTTCACATGTCACATTTGAAGCTCCACTTCGCCCTTCACACTTCCCACTGCACTCTTCACACTCCACACTTCCTACTGCACTCTTCCCACTCCACACTTCACACTTCACACTTCGCAGTCCACACTTCACACATCACAGTCCACACTTCTCACTTCTCACTGCTTTCTTCACACTCCACACTTCACACTTCACACTTCACTGCACTCTTCACGCCCCACACTTCACACTGCACTCTTCCCACTCCACACTTCACACTTCGCACTTCACACTTCACACTTCACAGTCCACACTTCACATTTCACACTGCACTCTTCACGCCCCACACTTCACACTGCACTCTTCCCACTCCACACTTCACACTTCACACTTCGCAGTTCACACTTCACACTTCACAGTCCACACTTCACACTTCACACTTCTCACTGAGGTAGATGATGCCGTCACCAGGTTTGCCCACAGAGTGATGTTCAGGCCCATGATAAGGAGTTTCACCGTCAGGAGGAGGCATAGGAGGACCATCAACAACTTCTGTTCCATCAGCTTTCTCTTTGTCGAGTTTGATGTCCATTTCCTCCATCATGTGGTTGAACTCTTCTTCTTGATGTTCAACTCGATTGGTGATCTTCCTTTTCTTGGGTTTGTCGTCACCGTCATCTCCATCATCGTCGTCTCCATCATCATCATCATCATCATCATCATCATCATCATCATCGTCATCTTGATGATCTTCAAGGAAGTCTGGTGATCCTTCAAGACGATCTTTCACTGCTAACCCTTCCAATGGTTGTATTCACCTTCTCATAGATGTCTTTGCATGGGAATGTCAATGGCAAATGCACCTCGATCTTCTCGGTGAGATGTGGATGGCGTAGCTTGTCGATGATTGTCTTAGCATTGAACGAGTAGTTCTGCTTCGTCATGTCAGACAATGCCCATGCCATGTATTGTCTTCGCCAGTTGACGCCTGGGGCAATTTCATAGCCCGCAAAGACACCAGGGATGCCCTTGGGATCGAACTTGTGAGCTTGTTCATTGGCTCTGGCTCCTCTCGGCTTGAAATAAACCAATGCACCAAATGGGATCTTATCGCCCTTGAACTCGGCGCCATGGAGCTTGCACCATGCACTCACATCGTCTTCACCAGGTTCCACATTGAGTAGATGACATACACATCGTATGGCGAACTTCCAGAAACATGCTGGCAGTCCAGCCTCGAGTAAGCATGTGGTAGTAGTTGCAATGACGAACTGGTTGTTGCGCTCGGCAAGAGAGTTAGTCGAAGGTCTTCCCGGCAGAGCATGATCAAAGGGAATCTTGAGCGCCTCCATGCCTTTGACGAACTGTCTGGCTTTGTCGGAGTAGGCTTCCCTGGTTCGTCTTCCCATGAAGTACCTCACCGCTCTCACAACATCCTCAGTGCTCTTTGTTGGAGAGGGATAGCTCTGGATGATGCCGGTATACCTGTCTCGGATGACAAGAATCTCCTTGACCGTGTCGTAGCCCAACTTGGTCGTCTTGCGAGTGTCCATGAAGTCAAAGGTGATGAGGTCGCCGAACTTGGTGAGCTTTCGGCGAAATGCACCTCGATAGGTCTTGTGATGTTTCATCTTGGCCCTTACGCAAGAATTGCAGTATGGATTCTTGTATCGATGTGTCAAGAGATGTTCGAGAGTACGAGCCTCATGTTTCAAGGTACCCCTCTTTGACAATCGTACTCCTCCATCAGGATCATCAACAATCGATATCATCCTCATCATCTTCTTCTTCTGGTGGTCCATGTTCAACACCAATTTCATCTTCATCCGGTTGTTCATCATCTGGAACATCATCAGCTGCTGGTACTCGATCATCATCATCTTCTTTGTCTTCATCCGCTCCCGGAACTTCGTCAACACGAACATCATCATCTTCTGGATCTTCTTCGCGGATGGATGGTTCATAGCCATCATCATCATCGAGTCCTTCTCCAGCTGCTGCAGGAACTGTCTTTCGCTTGGAACGCTTCTTCTTCTTCTTCTTCGTCTTCCTCGGAGACTTCATTGGCTCGTCGACGAACGTACCAACTCCATCATCTGATTCGGACATTTCATCACCACTCTCACCATCAAGATATATCGTCCTCGATGCATGGTTGTTGCCAGCGAGACCCAACACTTTCATCACTAGCTCAGCCTCATGGTCTGGCGTAGGCCTGTAGTCCTTAGCCCCAAGGTAGACATATGGGATGAGATCATGAACTTCCATCTTAATCTTGTCACCCTGGGAGTTAATCATGTCAGGTTCTCTTCCGTTAGGCCATACAAAGGTGTAACCTTGTTCCATGCATCGTTTTCCCAATGACAGAACAGATGGGGTGTCCTCCAACACATGAGCCCTTGCAGGTTCATTGAATGTGTCAAAGTCCAGATCCACCATCGTTGATGTAGACGTGATGCCATTCGCAGTGTGGAAGTTAACTCTGTCGCTCTGGTAGGTGTCGATGTCCATCCTATCCACTCTGGTGGATGAGATGAGATCATGACCACTGCCAGAGTCCATGATGAAACGTCTGTCCTTGAGCTCGATCGGCATGGTGATGCACATGACGTTATCACGACGACCATATTGTCCTGTTGGGTTTAGGGTTTAGGGTTTAGGGTTTAGGGTTTTGGGTTTAGGGTTTAGGGTTTAGGGTTTAGGGTTTAGGGTTTAGGGTTGGCTTGGATCCTTGGGTGCATTGCGCTGTCGTATGGCTTGTTGATCCACATCGAAGACATCGAAGTGCAGCTTGTGCTCGACCTTTGGGATCGTGAGGCTTCATTGGCGGCTTGGAGTACTTCACATTGTTCTTTCCTCCACGCCCTTTTCCACGACCCTTCTTTCCTTTGCCCTCGTTGTTGTTAATGGGCTGCTGGTTGGAGCCGGAGGCATTGGGGTCAAGTGCAACAACTGGCAAGAAGCCTCTCGACATACGAAGTTCGTTGAACCTTCGTCGAGCATCCACATAGCTTGCAAAACACTCATCGTACTCGTCAGGGTCATAGCCATAGTCATCCATGATGGGATCATCTGCAGTCTCCTGGTAGTAGACAGCTTCGCAGTCAAACTCATCATAGTTGCCATCATCTTCCCAAGCACCATCATCGTACCCATAGTAGGCAAGGTCGTCATCTTCAGCCATGTAGCCCCAAGCGTCATCCTCATAGGCATTGTTGTCATCATCCACATAGTATCCACGACCTTTTCCAGAAGGGCGTGATGAGGAAGACCATCGGCTGGGGTTTGGAACATGGCTGTGCTTGTAGTCCTGGCCAAGGATGGAGTACAAAGCTTGCCGAATCTTCGTACGCTCCAAGGAATTGGCTTGCGTCATCACCATCTGCTTCTGCTCCTTGGAGATGTTGGATTTTTCCAACAAGTGCCATCCTTGAACTTCTGCTGGAAGCTTGACTCCATGCTTTTCCACTCGGCGAAGTCGATCATCATGGTCGGTGATGAACTGAAGGAGGCTCTGACCACTGCAACGTCCTTTGCTTTCGAAGTATGCAGCAAAGTCTGCAGGCATCTCCACCTTGCTGTCATACTGGAAAGCTGCGTCCAACAGGGCCAAGATGTCCTTCAGGGCGGTGTCGCCGCTCACGGACTCCAAGTCAAAGTCCTCGACAAGTTTCCATGCTGTTCCTTGCAAAGAACCAAGCAAGTTCAGCACACACTCGCCTTTTCTGTTCATCAGCTCCATCTTCTTGGCATAGATGATGATTCGTTTCCGCCATTCCTTGTAGTTCGCTGGAGTGCCATCAAAGACAGGGATGTAGCTGTCGCGAGTGCTCTGCTGGTCCAAGGCAGTTGCGCTCGAAGCGCCCGCTGACATAGCTCTCGAAGAGAAGCACTGCCCAGGGCCAAGTAGAAGAGAAGCACTGCTAAGGTCCAGGTAGAAGAGAAGCACTGCTAAGCCAGAGCCCGAGGTCCTTGACAAATTCAAAGATGTAGGACTGGCAAAGTGCAAAGCTCGATAGATCTTGTCCAGAAAGTTGTAGAAGGAAATCACAAGTTTGAAGGTGAGGTTGTAAGGGTTATTGGTTAGGTTGGAGTGCGCAGCAGCAGCAGGCCGAGCAATCTCGGCTCCGCTACCAATGTAGCTTCTGCAGGGTTGAAACACAGAAAGCAAAGTAGGAACCCACGAAGTTTCCAAGAGGCAATGGTGGTGCAAGCGCTCGAAGTCTGCACCTTTTCGCAGCAGCTATGGCTTGGTGAAATATCCCGCCCACCTGCCAATGGAATTGAGCAGAAGTGGGCAACGTTGGCGAAAATGGATACCTGACAGGTCGATATGAAAATGGTACCTGGCAGGTGGATTCATGTTGCATGTATGCAAATGACAACTTCACTTGAATGACAAACCCTGCAAACAAACAGTGAACAAATTACAAACATTCCCAGCGAACAATTGCTTGAGTGCCTCCGCATCTGCTTTCTGCTGTTTTGCATTTTTGTTGGCCTTCTTGCACTTTTTCAACCGTTTCCTGCACGGCAGACATTGCTATCACACGGGGACACGCAAGATTAGCCGTCCCACGCAGCAATTCAACGCGGCACATTTGCAACACAAAAATGCACATTGAAGTTTCGTTGATGCGTACTGTGCAAGATGCAAAGACGGAGCACTTTAAGCGGAATTGGATCAAACAAGTGGATGACACTGTCTAATCTGTCTGCACCGTCTGATTGTGGCGATGTGTGGCGATGTGTGGCGTTCTGTGTGCGCGTGCCACATGTTCATTCTTCGGTTCGTCCATGCTTCAGGCAGCAGACCGCGCCACAACACACGATGGGAGCATCGTGATTTCCTGGTTTCAGCAAATTTCAACCAAAATAAGGAACTGTTTGCTTTACATAATATGCCAACATGACTTTTGAAGATGGCACGGTATAACATGATATGATGGAATGTGATGTGATGTGATATGATGTAATACGATGTAATATGATATGATATGATACAAGTATGATATGATGTGATGTGATGCGATACGGTGTGGTATGATGTGACTTGAAGCCCAGGGGGGTTGAACGAAAGCTAAAGGTCATAGAAATTCTGGCGAGCTTGGAAAGTCTAAACCAAAGAAAATGGTAACTCTACAAAGCTTGGGCCCCATCCAAAATCATAATTTTTGATGGGGCTCAAATCTACACAGTGTTGACCTGAGTCACAAAGACTTCTACCGAGCCTAATGTTCTGGTGAGGCATCTTGCACAAGAGTTCCATCCGAACAACATGTAA